CAACATCTTTTATTGTCATTTTTAAGGGTCTGCATGGGGGATGTCCTGATCACGCTTTGCGCGCTAGGTTCTGTAAGGCAGCGACTGCAATTTACATTTGTTCAGGTTGGTTTCACGTAGATACATTTGACATCAAATCTTCTACTTCATTAAAGTTATGCAAATGGAAAGGTGAGAAATTCTGCAATGCAACGACCCCGTATTACGGTTGACTTAATATACTGGCTGGATGTTTTACTAATCATACAATACGTTTAACGGTGAATAGAGCGACCCGGCTTGGTATTATGCAAAACTAAAACGGCTGATTACGCATTGCGCCATGCAGACCCCACTTTTGAAAGAGTTCATAAATGAAATTAGACTCACAGTACTAGTCAAGTCCGATGTTCTCTTGTCTCTTAGCTGGTGACAGATCCCTCAGAAACACAGACAAATCCTCCTTGAATATGGAAGATCACTGGCAGGCCCTCCAGAAAAATGACAGGAACACAGGATAGCTGACAAGTCCCACAATGTCAAGCCTTGGGTGTAAAAGAAATACACATTCAGAAAAATCACAGGCGAAATATTACAATACTCACAGAGCATTATACATTGCAATACATGTCATTATTTAAGTTCTAAAACCTGCGGAGACAAGAGTTAATGCTTTGTTTAATAGTGAACATTCAAGCAAAGATACAGTCACACAGAATATAATGACCACAGAAAAATCAATTGAAACACATTTCACATAAAATATCACATCAAGACAATCAATATGACAAGTTAACACACATGATATAAAGAAACGTCATACCGGTACTATCATAGGCAATATGGCAAACATGAAATACCTCATTTCAGAACAGTTACCATTACAACACATGAAATGCATTTCAAACATCAGTTCTAGCACAGCTCATATTGTTGATAGAACACGTTCAATATGGGAAAAGATGGCATTAACAGTCATGTACATGTATAAACGCCCCACAGTGGCCGTTTTACTAAGTGCAGGTTTAAGCCTACTCTCCAAGCAGAGGTTTGGGTTTATTTTTAGCGTGTTTTTAGGCTTTTTTTATCGGGGTTTCTCTTTTGCACTGAATTTTTGGTGGGAAAAAAATCAGTGCAAAAGAGAAACCCCGATAAAAAAAGCCTAAAAACACGCTAAAAATAAACCTAAACCTCTGCTTGGATAGTAGTTTAAACCATGGAGGTAACCTCCATGTTTAAACCCAGGGAATCCGGTCGTCATTCTGTGTTTTAGCTTCATTTCAGAACAATACGTTCGGCCCAAATAGTCACGACTATATAAAGGACAATGTTAAGTGCGACTTACCACCTAAAACGGGGGTAGTGCGTCTTCCAAGACGAATTTTACCGGAGCTCTTTCCCTTCCATCCACACTCCGGCCATCTTCCTGCAGCGTGGTCTCACCACCTGATAAGGAATCACCAGAATTTGCATATTCTCAATCAAATAATTAGATTACATTTAACACCGGTGTGATCTTGCCATCTGTTAATGAGTCGTCATGATTTGCATTTCTTTGTTAAGCTTTATAACGTGATAGACCAACACTATTTTCATTATATCATTATTTGCCTTACATTGCCACATTATCATTCAACCTAAAAAATATCCATTTCATCGTTTATTTCAATAAATGACCACATTGCAGTTGGTTTTAACGGGCTTAAATGAGTATTTGAGAAACGTTAAACCTTCGGGTATTTTTCTCGCCCTCTGTGTAACTAACACCCTTTCCCTGGCGCACTACCCTTACCCATAAACTTCTTTTAGAAGGCTAGAATCTTCCTTTCATTGTCATTTCCCCTAAATTTAGTGCGTTGAATTTCTCTATCTAAATTAATAAGGTTTACAGAATAATCAATTGACTGCCTTATCACTTACCTTTCTATTCAGAAACCCTGCTTCTATCATTGTCTTTCGTTCTGAACACGTTAAAATCGCGATGGATCAAAAGCGCCCCACAACGGCGATAAACATCACTGCATCTTCAAGGCTATAGGGCCCTTTTAGACTAGCATCTCTCCGCTGCCTAACTTAACTATGTATATAAGTATGTCTCGGTATTATAAGGAGGTTTGCAGTTTAGAGCCACGAGGATGTCCGCCATATTTACGATAGGACTCAGTGTACCAGGTTATGAAAGTGAAGTGCAGTGCATGGATCAAAAGCGGTCCCTGGCAGTCCGGTGCAGGACTGCAGCAATACGTTGGTTCAGTTGCTCCTATTACTGCAGTGATGTTTTATCGCCGTTGTGGGGCGCTTTTGATCCATCGCGATTTTAACGTGTTCAGAACTATATACATTTGTATAAGCAGGGTTTGTTTTTAAAAAGAAAAGCAATAAGGCAGTGAATTGATTATGTATATTAAGCATTATCAATTTAGATTCATATAAAGGATTCAATGCACTAAATTTAGGGAATTCGAATATGACAGAAAAATTCTAGCCTTCTGAAAGAAATTGATGGAAGGGGAGGGCGCCAGGGAAAGGGTGTTTGCTGCATAGAGGGCGAAAAAAATACCCAGTTTTAACGTTTCTCAAACATTCAAAGTTTGCAAGGCTTTCATTCATCATCATCATCATCATCATCATCATGAAGTATTGTGGATGTATAACTAGACTTTTTTACAACTACTCATTAGGCTTTTCATCATCATATGAATTTTCATTAAGCTTGTTGAATGAATTGTTCGGGAAGCCTGGTTATTTAAGCACACACATTTCAGATAGATCCTAGCCCCATTATGATTGGCTGATTGAAACAGAACTCCACATGATGACACAGAACATATTAACTGGACAACAAACTTTATTTACAAACTTTCAAGGACCAATAAACATGGGACGGTCTACATCCCTAGATATCTCTATAAACAACAACTATTGCAACTAACTTAAGTTGTCACAACACACACACAAAAAACAGTTCTGTCTAATATTGCTTACAGACCTTCATATGATAATTAGTAATAGGAGTAACTTGTTACTTGTATTTCTTCAGTGATGGTAAACCATGGAAATATTTCTACTCATCAAAATAATATGTATACTGATCAAATAATACTATTCCAATACAAAATGCACAAAAGTTTAGAAAACAGCAACAAAACTATGCAAAATCTATGCTGCTCACTGAAATAGTTAATTCCATTCTACATGCTTGGCAATTAACCCTCTCACAAGAGATTCTTTCAACTTCATGTCACAGTAGTCTCTTGATTAAATGACTGACATTGTGCAAAGTGCATAGATATCAAAGAAACAAACACAAAATGTAGTCAGAGCATAACAGTGTGCGAACAAGTCTTTGCTACTCTACAAAAACATTTCTTATAAAACATAAAATAAGTGCAACATAAGAAAATAAGGTAACATTTGCCAGTTTCTTTTTCTAAACATGATGTATGATGACTTTATACATTGACATCACGATAATGTACATATAGTCATGTGACAATAATGTTTATGGCTACCTTTGACTTTTATGTCAACTGAGTCAACATATTTACTTGAAACTTAATGAACAATGATTACCTTAAAGAAATTATCAACACAATAATCAAACAAAAGCATCTTAAGTTTTTACAGAGTAATATACTAAAGGCAATCTTATAGCCAATAATGCTGTTGGTGCCACCATCTTAATGACATTAACATTGTGCCATAGGCATTGTCTAATAATCTTTGGTCATGTTGTAACATGTAGTAATTAACATAGCATTAATCAACTGGAATGTAAATTGGGAGGAGGAATGACCGAATGAAAACTCAGTTTATGGACACAAAATGCAACAGTGAAGATACAAATCTCAATGGAATACAGAGGTTCAATATGCTATTGAGTTGCTCTGGCCCTAATTCTTTGACAATGTGACTCTTGTATTAAATATGGTATTTATTTGAAAAAAAAAAGACTCAAAAATCTTTTGTCACCTTCAAACAGCATTTGTATGAATGTCACAATGTAAGATGGCAATATTCAATGGAAAGGCTCTGGCAGTCTACATCCAGCAAAAGTGGTACAGAATCTATTTGAAATGTACACATTGTTGTTGAACAGCCTTACATTAATAGGCTAATGGTTGCTTGGGTTCTCTTCCATTGAAAAATACATTTGGGCAGTATGAGCTTAGGAAGGAAACATAATTTGAAGATCTGGCTGTCTTCTCTGGTCTGCCTTATAATGGTTTCTCTCCCATTAGGTGCAGAATTGATGTTCAAATCAGGCGGCTGGTGGTACTTTGCCCCTGCGTATACTGGGACCTACGTTGGCTGTGGAAACAAGAAAAAAAACAATGGGATATTACTTCAGTCTGTACTTACTTGTAAGTTAAAAAAACAATCAAACAATACGCAATCACAGAAATGTCATGATCATGGTGATTTTAAGGTAAAAACAAGTTGTCACAAGTTTTGAATTGCATGTAAGCTTACACACTCTCCAAGATAGAAATGTAATTGTGACTCGAGAAAAGCAAAACAAACACATGGATACAATGAATGTGTGGCTGCATATGAAAAGGGGATGCAGGCAATTAAAGGACATATGTTCTTGCACAAGCACACAAAGTCTATATAATGTTAATAATCTCCAAGCAGAGCTACAGTAGAGTTGGGTAATTCCTGATTATTTCACGGTACATATTGTACTTTTATGTTCACGCCGACTTCACGGTTTTCCCTGTCACTTCTGTACTGTGAACTTATCATGATTAAACAGTCAACAAATAGTTCCTGGACTTAAATTCTTTTTCCAGCATCTGTCAACACCGTGAATATGAGTTCCGTGAACACCTCTATTTTTCTCAGACCGTGAAATTTTGCTACCATGAACATAAAGTGTATTGTTTGACAGGCTTAAACAATCAGCTCGTCAGACTGCCACCCTCACAACCAGCCCAACATCCAATAGCCAGGCCAGAGGGTCAGAGGGAGACCCCGCCGCATCTGGATACATGGCGTGACAGAGACACTGAGCACCCATGGCCCGACACTTCAGCAAGCGACTCGACTGGTCCTTTGACGCCCCCATAGAGGCAGAAGTGGCCGGATAAAGTAAATTTAAAAGTAAAGCAAACAATCAGCTTGGGGATTAGGGGATAAATCCTGCAGAATTCAGCATTAGGCATTGCCAGGAACCCCCAACCAGACCCTTTAATCATTCAGACTGGACAGGTTTTTCCACCAAGTTGAACAAGCAAAGGGACAAAGAATGACATCATGGGACTTTCCAGGCCTGAAGGGAAAGAGCCAGAAGTGAAGCTGTTAGGACATACGCAGTAGAAAATTCGAAGCACTTTTGCAGTTTGAAGCTTCGAAGCAGTCTAAAGCTGACATTGAGCACACCTGCTACTCTACCAGAACCATCAAGATGCCATTCACAGGACAACAACATTCGGTTAGTTGAGGGGTTCTTTGCCACATAACGTTACATGTAATAATTGCACCCTGCAAAGATTATTGACTTTTGAATGCTTGCAATTTAACCTTTAAGGTTTCAAGGAAACTATACATGGATTTTCCGACAGAAATTAATTTACTAGTAGAATTTTGGTCTCTATCTAGTGAATTAATGAGATAGTGACCCTCTATCTCATTAATTCACGAGAATGAGAATTTTGTTCTCTATCTAGTGAATCAATGAGATATCGACCCCCTCATTAATTTACTAATTCATAGATCTCATAATTTACTAGACAAAAATTTTTTCTACTGAATCAATGAGATAGAGGGTCGCTATCTCATTAATTCACTAAAATATGAATGGTCTATGTGGGGAAATTAGTTTGTTATAGTAAAAAAAATGAATGTACTGAAAGGAGTTATCACCAGTTTTCCCAGTTATCACGGGTTTCGAATTGAATTTCCTATCTCAACTAAATAAAATTTTTAATGTGATAAATAATCAAGTGTAAACTAGACATTCATGTTGGTATTTGACAGGGTACAGCCGGCCTACAATGTAATTATTAACACACCAGCTTTGCAGGCACACAGCATAGCAGTAGCCTCAGGGTAACCATTTGGATTTTCGCTCCCCAACGCTATCCAATTTTTTTAGCATTGCAGAGCGAAAATCCGGATGGTATCCAGGCTAGAATTGCAGCAGATAATAGATTCTTTCTAGTAGGTCAAAATTTAGGGTTAGTGGCAACAGGGGTGCCAGAGTATACAGTGCAATTTTAAGGAATACAGTGCAATCGTATTAGTATACAGTGCAACTTTACGGAATACAGTGCAATCGTATAAACTTGCATTGTATTCCGTAAAATTGCACTGTATACTCTGGAACCCCTGGGCAATAGGAGATTGCTATGATACCAACTGTCTGAACACCTGGAATGTTATAGATGTGTATTTACCATAACATCCTGCACTGAAACTTGTCCCCCATTTTGTCACTCTGCGACAGAGGTGCAGCACATACTACAGCTGGTTCCCGTGGCTCATACTGTTAGTACTTTTACTTGGAGGTGCTTTAACAGCTGCAATATTCTTTTTCAAATGGACACCACAACCAGGTACAAAGAGTTTCAGTTAAATATTTCAGTTACAATTCAATATTTGTCAATGAGTCTTGCAAGGCTCTTTAAAATGTGTAATAAATTATGGTCGTCTGATGGACTTTTTATCAGCCAGATACATAATTATACTGTCTGTAAACATATTACATTGTACTGTGTACAATGTAACACTGACACTTGTGCTGGACTTCAGATATATTTTAGAAGTGATACAAAAGGCTTTAGTGAAACTGCAACATATATTAGTCAATAATATTATGTACTTTTAAATGATGAAAATCTTACATATGATGTATGTGGATGAGTTTACTAAGTATATTTTTATGTACATGTAATGTCATGTAAATACTATTTTGATGGCTAAAATTACATTTTACATTGTACTAAGATAGGATTTAACCTGCTGTAATGTCCCTGGATTGAATAACATTTCAGCCACTACCAGTAGGCTGTAATGTTTGGACACTGTCTTTCTTACCAAATAAACAATCATGTAATGTAATTACATAATACAGATAAAGATCCACGCATCCAAACATTGAAAACCAGCCTTCACCTGAACATACCTAAGGATGTCCATTACACATACATCTGTCTCCATCATGATGACTGGAGTGGGTGCATACAACTGGATCAGATGCTTCGTGGAAGTATGACATTCAACATCACAGCTGAAAGAACAAGTGCGTTAAACTCTACTTAATAAGTCTTGTTTGTCTTTAGCCATAGCTAATGATTTGTCAATATCTTTAGATCATTTTAGAAAGTTGAGTCAATATTTCCTACTGATGATATTTTACTTTTGTGTTTTTCTGTTTTTGTTTCTGGGGTCTTCCCTCCAAGACACATTGAAAAATAGGCAATGATAATGTTGTCTTTCCTCTGGTTAAAACAAAAAAGCCCACATTGAAACTTTGAACTTTTGTTACAATACTTTTGGCTATAATCCTTTTGTTTTTCTGGTCCATTCAAACTTGATGATTTAACATTTAGACGGTTGCTCTTTAGGAATGCTGAAACGCAGAAATCTTTATGTCACAAGTGACTTCATCACTGTTCACCTTTCTACTATCAGAAGCCCATCGTGACGAGTCTAAAGCTGATATTGCATTTGGCTTCTACTGGGGATGTCTAGGTGCTTTTTTGTTTGTGTGCGCAATCATAGGCCGCCCACTCTATAACAGTAAGTACTTCAGTCCTGGCACCAGTACTGCAAGTAAGTTATTGACACAGCTGCAATATGTACAAAGATGTAAATTTTAAGTCTCTGAGTCTGCAAGAAAAATCTTTGAGGAAACTTTTAAGATGCTAAGCTGCCCATCATCTTGTTTAAAGTCAGAACAAGGTTACATGTATGTGGTATGACTATTAACTGAATGTCTATTAATAACGTCCTGAGATTTGTCCAGATTTGTAAATACATGTATAACTAGAGTTCCACGACCTCATACCTTCGCCTAATGTTACCCTTGGGCCTTGACGAGAGTTGACGAATTTTAAATCATTTTCATCTTTCTTATCTGAAGATCCCAATTTGCATGAATTATATCAGTTAATCATGTTACCGGGTACATGTATTCACCTAATGACAGTCATGTCTTATGAAAAATGGCCAATCTAGAATTTCTTTATGAATTATGCAAATGAGGTCCTGATTTGTATGTTTTTTAGTGATGTCCGCCTTCACTTCACTTAAAAATGCCACAAGTATGAGATTCCCTGCAGTTACTATGGAATTACAGCTTTTTCGCATTTATTATGCAAATTAGGCCTTCATTTGCATAACCACTATCTGCCAAATGCTCTAGCTTCTTCTTCACAATTACACATGCCACATGTTTGAATAATCATATTATGGAAGGTAGCAGATTTATAGAATATCCACATTAATTATGCTAATAAGCTGCTGATTTGCATAACTATCATTTTAATATGTCAAGCATTCTTAAGGCTACCCACATACCAAAAATCCGTCAATCGATTCTTGAGTTATCCAGCACGTCGGCAGAACGCACGGCACCTGCGTGAAACCCGTAATGTATTGTGCATAGCACTTCAGTAGAACGTCTCATATAAGGTCGTATTCGTGCATATAAGGTTAACATCCCGTCTGTAGTTTCCAAATGTTATGTTGGAAAAGATATCCTCTGCAACAGGCAAAATTCTGATGCAACATTGACCAAAAATCCATCGAAAACCGTGAAAATACAGGGTTTTGCGCAGGCGCAGTACGTTCTGCCGACGTGCTGAGTTATCCTCCTTCGAATATTTTTCAACGAATGCTTCAGAATCTGCAGTTCAAGAACAAGCCGCTACAGGGCCCAAACTCATGACCCTGCTTCCCCAGCCCAAGAGCTACCTACAGTACCATCCAAATCTAGTGACCCTACCATGTCCAGATCACGAGATATCAAAATCGGAAGTTCAGTTGCAGTACCATAACAAGCCGCCAGGGGGTCCAAAATCTAATCAGTTCGAGGTGTCAACAAGACCTTATTAGTAATCCACCTACGAAATATAAAGACAATCCATCTTTAGTTAGCCTTCTTGAGTTATCGTGTTCACACACACACACACACACATACGTGTACACACACACGAATGCCAACAAAACAATTAACCTTCTTGGCGAAGGTAAAAATGTAGAAAACGTACAGCTTGAAAAGTAGGTACTTTAAGAAAGCCCAAAATGTCTTTCTCATCTATGAAATGTGTGACTAGAAGCTGTGCCCATTTCAAATCCTGCAACTTTCTGCCTTCAATTTGATTTCTACATACAGCTTGCCGAAGGATACTGTCCTCACACCACTATTGCAAGTAAGTTAACACAGCATTGCAATATGTACAAATAGGTAAATTTTAAGTCTCTGAGTCCACACCAATTTACCATGTTGGTTCTCTCTCGGATTTTTTCAGAAGAAATATGACGGCGAAAAAAGATAAGTAACAAGAATTCAGAGATCTCAAACCTCCATGAAATATAAAATAAATATGTTTTTGTAAATGCTTTCTTTTTTGGATTTGTCTCATTGACTATCGAAGGATGATCGTAATTACCATAATCTACATGTAGTTTAATTCATGGTTTTCTAAACTCAAATATTTTCTGTGTGAAATTTCTATCCTTTGGCAATATTTCTAATGCCTAATACATGCATAGTGTTGTTAAAACATGTCATAAGGTATAAAATACCAATCATTCACCAATAAGGAATCAGATCATTTTCACATTAATTATGCAAATTAGATCAACATTTGCATAATTGGTACCTGTTGATGTTCCACCTTCCATAGATTACATACATTACATGTATAAGTACTTATAAAACACTGTAAATACAGAATTTCCTCCTTAATCTGTCACCAAAAGGTCAGGACCATAGCATGTTCAGGACAAAAGATACAAAAAACATAAGTTCTGCTGCAGTACCAAGGTCAGCCACCAGGAGGCCCATATTTGACCTTGACCTTTGTCTTCCTAAGTCCTAACAACATACCAAATATAAAATATCCATTAAGGCCTTCATAAGTTATGCTGACCACAACATTGTGGAAACACAGACACACACATGCCAATTACTAGTATAACCTCCATTTTTATGATTATAGTAGACTGAGGTAAAAATAAAAACAGGTCTAGGCATCCTATTATAACCCCAAATGCTATGAAAGGAGCCATGAAGTCAACACAAAAGGTTGGATTAATATTTAAACAAGGAATTTTGAACTTTTAATCAAACAAATGCATTGATAGATGGAAAAACTGTGACAACTAGGAAAAAGGACTTTTCTCAATTGTTGGGGGCAAAATATGAGCATTTTTGGGTTGATTCAGAAGCAGAATGTTTTTTCAAATCAGAAAAAAATAAAGAGGCGAATCCGAGAACCGAGAACCAGCAAATTAAATTGGTGTGGCCTGAGTCTGCAATAAAAATTTTTTTAAACTTCCTGCTAACTCAGAGGAAAGATGCTAAGCTGCCCATCATCTTGTTTAAAGTTAGAACAAGTAAAATCTGAGATTTTATACATGTACCTCCGGGCTTTTTATTGTATATTTCTATATGTTGTTTCTTATGACTATATATATTATATAGTTGATGGTGTTAAATTTTAAATGTATGTGTTAGATTTAGCATTCCTGGTTGTGTTAACACAGGTCAACATTCTCATCTGCAGTACATAACATGTACCCACGAACTTATGAAATTCTAATAATCTGCCACAAGGAACTCTAATGAAACTTAGAATGACAACCAGAACCGTTAAATCTGACGTTAAAAATTAAAGGTAATCAGTGTTATGACATACATCAAAGCGGGCACATGGTGCGTATCCACAAATATTTCGCTCGAAAACACACTGTGACTGAGCTTATAGTACGTCAAATATACAAGGGTTTACAAGAAGTTGTAGTTTAAGTAATGTACGCATGTAATGTTTGCATAATACTCAATTGCATACTTGTGACTCACTACATGCCGCCTTTACCAGATCAGATGCCCCCGTAACACTTCCGGGTTCGGTCGAGTAAAAAAATCTGTGAAAAGGCATCATAAATCCGCAAAGAAATATATTATTTTCACCAAAGGTTCTTTGAATTGTGCATATTTGCACTAAATCTGGCTATGCGGCCGTGGAAAACAGCGTATTAGCGCATATTTTTTAAGAAAGAATTTATCGAGACTGGACCCCCCTTTGTGCGGATTGGCTAAGACAAGTGGACCAGACCGATAATACCGTTCAGGGTCAAAGGGTTGTTTGGGGGCCACCAAAAGTCTTAATTTTCACACCCGAAAACTCAATAAAGACATTTACAATAAAAACAAATTTAAAGAACGTGCACCATCTACAGACCAATAGCAAAACGTATACCGAGTCCAAAAAAAATCCGTCCACCCAAACGCGAGATACAGAACAGCTGCGAACATGAAAATCTCAATCTCTTACAAAACCCTTCCGCGGAAAGATGTCTCCTTCCCCGGAGGTAACAAGGTACATGTATGTGGTGTGACTATTAATTGAATGCATCCAGAAATGTCAGAATAGGTAAAGCTAGCTTGAAAAGTACTTTAAGAAAGCCCAAAATGTCTTTTCTCTTCTATGAAATGTGTGACTAGAAGCTGTGTCCATTTCAAATCCTGCAACCTTCTGCCTTAATTCAATTTGATTTCTACATACAGGTTGCCGAAGGAATGTAGTAATGTAAAGGAAGATGCATCACCACGGAGTGAAAATGTAGGAAGACCATTATTTAAACCATACTGTCATTCCCCTGTATGCATTAGCATTTAGCACATTGGTACATGATATACATGATTGTGTAGCATATGTTCACGTTGGAATTATAGTTTAAAAAAAACAGAAAATCATAAATGTACATGGCTAAGGGTTCCAATGACACATTTCTGCACACATTAATTCAAACCTGAAATTCATATTTTTCTTATGTCTCCAAATATGAACTCCACGGTCGAAGCATGTGGTCTTGTAATACCTTACCCTTCCTACTATCTATAAGTATTCTTAAAAAAAGACATATTAAATAATGTCATGCAATCAGGAATTACGTATATCTATTAGTGTGGAAAGCATTTTGGAAACCTGAGGAAACCTGCAAATACTGTTGGAAGGGAACTTCAATCAATAATGATGTTTAGAGATTTCCACTAATCTTAGAGACCGGAGTGCAGAATGGATTGTGCAATAGTTCTGTACATGTACACATGTAGTTCTATTTTTAGTTCTTTTTTATGAATATTGCTTGTGTATCAATTTTATCAAATCTATCATTTAATATTGGATGATATTTACAACATCATACATCCTGGATGGGACAATGATAATCTCTGTTGCCAGCAATATATTATGTAAATTATCATTACATGGCAAATAACTATTATCGATATTCAAATCAAAACCTTTTAACTTCATCAATCCTTTCTACATTTCAGACGGCCTCCAGTCCACTAATTGCTCCAGCTGTGAGCTCAAAGGTCCAGCAGACTCAAAACGCCTCAACAGGCGGTGCATGCTCCAGTAGGGTGAGTTTTTGTGATGATCAACTACTAGTAGTTAAGTCAAATGACAAACACCCAGGACATTAATGATATAGGGAATGTTCCTGAGCAGTTTGTAACCACTTTATTTGTGCATGGATTCTTCTATTTAGTTATATGGTCCTATTCCTAACTTAAACATTAATAAATATTTCTGAACAAGGGGATATACTTAGAGGGAGAAATGCTGTTACAGTTCCAGGTACATGTACATGTACTTGTATGTAACCTGTAACCTTGAGGTGGATTTTGGGAAGAAGCCCTAAGTCTTGCAAAATATTAATTGTTAAATGTTATAGCTGGATGCAAGACATTCTCTTTATTTCTTTCAACATGTAGGTGGAACACCCTTGTGCAGTCAACATCATTTCACAAATAGATGTAAGTTTACACCATCATAAATAAAAAATATCTGTCATGTTTATTACAAACTTTGTTGGAAAGTACAAAACCTAACATGGGATTGATGTTTCAGTGGGATATGTCATAATGAAAAAATAATGTTCATGACTGTATAAAAAATAGAGAATCATGGCCTGTAGCTATAATATTATACAATGTCATGTACCATAGTAGATTGTAAATTATGTCTATAAACAAGACTGAAGACTGATGACAATCATGTATCATGACTAACTTGTTTTTTGTAACTTGTAACATGTATTAGCTGATGACCATCACTATCTTTGTTTTTTTACTACACACGTAAACGTATATTAGAAAGTTGTCATGAGTATTGCACAGGATAATACTAGACGTACTCTTTTAGGCAAACTTGATTGTGTGAAAAGTGCCAGACAAAATGGGGAAGTACATGGCATATTGACATTTCTCACTTCTGACATTCAACTTGGCACTACATATTTTTTACAGCCATCCTTTGATGCTGGACCAGAATTAATTGGGACTGTTGATGGACATGTGAAAGAACTGGAGGCAAAGATCAGAGCCAGTGCTTACAGCTCAGAAGGTACATGCATTCCTGGAGCTGCTAATTTTACACAATCATATAAAGAATTAAGTGGCAGCTTTATAATGCCAATGAATGAATTTTTCAGTGGCACATGAATGTAAAGGCCACTCTGAGCCAATGTGGACCTATCATAGCAGTGTGACAGCCTTGTTAGCTTTCGTCCGCTCCCCAAGACAGGGGAGCAGATCTTGGGGAGAGGACGAAAGCTAACAAGGGTCAGGCACTCAGGCTAGACCTATCAGACAGTATGTAACAGTGATTAAAAGGCAAATTACCTGAGGGATCCTTTTGCATGCTGGGGAATGCAGGGACCAAGATTGGCCCAACCGGACACATGTATGTCATTATGATAATAATTGTGCTGCATTGTCACCACATTGTCCATGATGGTGTGTCTGTACAAATTAATTGCCAAACATGTGAAAACATTGTGTAGGTGTCAGTATCCATGACTACTCTGTTTGGTCATGGTAACTGAAAAAATGAATTATTTCAAAATTGTTGGGTTATGGTCAATTTGTCAACTTTGCATTGATTGTCTTTTTCATCACAATGGCTTAATAAAATAATTAACCTAGTAATTAGATTACATTGTACTTAATATGCTTTCTATTTCCTCAGCACCTCTGAAGCCAAAAACATATGACTGTTTCATCATCTACAGCAGAGATGATGAAGACTTTGTGTACGACAAGTTGATCCCCTTCTTCAATAGCAACAACATCAAGTACTGTGAACACCAGGAGCATTTTGAACTCGGTAAAAACATATTTGACAATGTAAACACGTGTATAACACAGAGCAGAAGGGTGGTTGCAGTTCTGTCCAAGTCATTTTTTGCCAGTGGCTATTGCATGGATGACTTGAATGCTGCAAGGGGCTATGCTGCTAGTAATGGCTACAGTGTACAGGACTTCCTCATCTCAATCAAAATCACAAATTTTGTATTTCCCCCAAAATACTGCGACATCAGTAATTTCACCTATGCTGACTTGTCCGAAGACATCAATGATGAAAGAAAATGGCTTCAGATCAAGAAAGCTCTTACTGAGTGCCGTTTGGCCTCAGTGGTCATGAGGATTGATATGGATGCCAAGTACTGTACACCAAAATCCAGACTTCCTGTGCAAGATGTGTCTGTCACTGCTAGTAAGTATGGGACATTTGAGGCTATAGTACGTGTACACTACCAAAAATGATTTTTCTTGTTTTTCTTGTTTTTCTTAATTCGTGGACAAATTTTCTTACATGAAGAAATTTCAAGAAAAATTAAGAATAAATAAGAAAAGAGCAACAGATCGTTCTAAAATTTTTTTCTTGTAAATTTTCACTACAAGAATCATTTTCTCATTTTTCTTACGTGAAGAAATAATTTCTAGCAATGATTTTCTCCCCCTAGAATGTTCTAGAAAATTGAGTTAAATGGTCTTGTTTTTCTTGTCTGTAGAATTACTTTCTTGCCATGGTTAAGAAAATACAAGAATTTTTCCCTTAAGTTTCTTGTATTTCTCATAGTAAGAAAAACAAGAAAAGCAGGGTTTAAAAACAAGTCATAACTAGAATAACATTCTTGAATTTTCTTGTTTTTCATATCAAGAAACTTTGAGAAAGGAAGTTCTTGCTTTTCTTGGGCTGTGTCAGAAAAAACAAGAATTTTGATCTAACCTTTCTTGAGATATATTGCTTAGAAAAACAAGAATATTCAAGATATTGAAACTAGAAGACAAAGATCAAGTCATAACTAGAATAACATTCTTGAAACTTTTGAGAAAGTTTTTCATATCAAGAAACTTTGAGAAAGGAAGTTCGTGCTTTTCTTGGGCTGTGTCAGAAAAAACAAGAATTTTGTTCTTGACTTTCTTGACATATGTTGCTTAGAAGAAAGTGTTTATTGGCAGTAAGAATTTTGGTCTTGAACTGAGTCTCAAAGATTATAGTGGTATATATATTAAGAATTTCTGTCTTGAGGAAAAAGATATGCATTCTTGTTGTAAGAACATGAAACTAAATAGAAGAAAGGCTTTCTTGACAATAATAATATAATAATTGATAAGTAATATCACTCTTAAAGTTAGAAAAGGAATCTTGGTGTAAGAATCTATTTTTGGGTATTAAGCATTTGTTCTTGTTTTTTGTAATTTAGAAAGTTGAGCAATCTGATTCTAGATTCTTTTAGTAATGTCAGAGACAAGAATTAGTTTCTTTACTTTCTTGACTTTGAATAATTCTATACTTGTAACTAGCATAGTTTTACTTATCTAGATAGTTCAAGAAAATGATCATTGTTTTTCTTGGTCAGGTCAAGGACATTATGTCCTTGGTCAGGTTATGTTCAAGAAAATACAAGAATCTGTGTCTTTGCTTTCTTTTTAGACAAAAAAAATTGTTGAATTAGAAATCAAATTTAAAACCTGAAAGCAAAAAATACTTAAAGTTCTTTAACGTTTTTGTTTTCCTTATCGAGAAAGTTCAAGAAAGATGAGTTTTTTCCCTGGTAATGTTCAAGATAATGTAAGAATTTTTTTCTTAACATTCTAGCCATAACTGTCATGTGATCTCCTGTGATCTCCTGATTGGTTAATTCAAATCCCAGAATGCAGTTAGGGATTTTTGAACAGAAGCTGGGGGGTAAAGGGACCATTTATCTTGTCCCGAGTATGTAAATTAGACTCCTTAAACAGCAATGTATGCAAATATCATGCAGATATATAATAATCTGGGAGAAACTAGGAGAAACTAGGAAAAAGCAGTAGAAATCAGGAGAATATAAGAGAAAGAAGGAGAAAGCAAGAAAAGGCTAGAGAATACAGGACAAAGCAGGAGAATAAAGGAGAAAGCGGTAGAATACAGGAGATAGCAGTAGAATACAGGAGAAAGCAGGAGAAAGCAGGAGAATATATGAGAAAGCAGGAGAATACAGGAGAAAGTAGGAGAAAACAGGAGAAAGCAGGAGAATACAGGAGAAAGCGGTAGAATACAGGAGAAAGCAGTAGAATACAGGAAAAAGCAGGAGAATATAGGAGAAAACAGGAGAATACAGGAGAAAGTAGGAGAACACAGGAGAAAGCAGGAGAACGCAGGAGAACACAGGAGAAAGCAGGAGAAACCAGGAGAACAGAGGAGAAAGTAGGAGAACACAGGAGAAAGCAGGAGAAAGCGGTAGAATACAGGAGAAAGCAGTAAAATACAGGAGAAAGCAGAAGAATACAGGAGAAAGCAGGAGAATACAGGAGAAAGCAGGAGAATACAGGAGAATACAGGAGAAACCAGGAGAACACAGGAGAAAGTAGGAGAACACAGGAGAAAGCAGGAGAATACAGGAAAAAGCAGGAGAATACAGGAGAAAGCGGTAGAATACAGGAGAAATCAGTAGAATACAAGAGAAAACAGGAGAATGCAGGAGAATACAGGAGAAAGCGGTAGAATACAGGAGAAAGCATTAGAATACAGGAGAAAACAGGAGAATGCGGGAGAAAGCAGGAGAATACAGGAGAAAGCAGGAGAACATAGGAGAAAGCAGAAGAATACAGGAGAAAGCGGTAGAATACAGGAGAAAGCTGTAGAATGCAGGAGAAAGCAGGAGAACACAAGAGAAAGCAGGAGAATGCAGGAGAACACAGGAGAAAGCAGGAGAATACAGGAGAAACCAGGAGAATACAGGAGAACACAGGAGAAAGTAGGAGAACACAGGAAAATACAGGAAAAAGCAGGAGAATACAGGAGAAAGCGGTAGAATACAGGAGAAAGCAGGAGAACACAAGAGAAAGAAGGAGAATGCAGGAGAACACAGGATAAAGCAAGAGAATACAGGAGAATGCAGGAGAAAACAGGAGAATGCGGGAGAAAGCAGGAGAATACAGGAGAAAGCAGGAGAACATAGGAGAAAGCAGGAGAATACAGGAAAAAGCAGGAGAATACAGGAGAAAGCGGTAGAATACAGGAGAAATCAGTAGAATACAGGAGAAAACAGGAGAATGCAGGAGAATACAGGAGAAAGCGGTAGAATACAGGAGAAAGCATTAGAATACAGGAGAAAACAGGAGAATGCGGGAGAAAGCAGGAGAATACAGGAGAAAGCAGGAGAACATAGGAGAAAGCAGGGGAATACAGGAGAAAGCGGTAGAATACAGGAGAAAGCTGTAGAATACAGGAGAAAGCAGGAGAACACAGGAGAAAGCAGGAGAATGCGGGAGAAAGCAGAACAGGAGAATGCAGGAGAACACAGGAGAAAGCAGGAGAATACAGGAGAAAGCAGGAGAAACCAGGAGAATACAGGAGAACACAGGAGAAAGTAGGAGAACACAGGAGAATACAGGAAAAAGCAGGAGAATACAGGAGAAAGCGGTAGAATACAGGAGAAAGCAGTAAAATACAGGAGAAAACAGGAGAATGCAGGAGAAAGCAGGAGAATACAGGAGAAAGCGGTAGAATACAGGAGAAAGCAGTAGAATACAGGAGAAAGCAGGAGAATGCAGGAGAAAGCAGGAGAATGCAGGAGAAAGCAGAAGAATGCAGGAGAATACAGAGAAAGCAGGAGAACACAGGAGAAAGCTGTAGAATACAGGAGAAAGCAGGAGAATGCAGGAGAAAGCAGGAGAAAGCAGAAGAATACAGGAAAAAGCTGGAGAAACCAGGAGAAACCAGGAGAACACAGGAGAAAGTAGGAATACACAGGAGAAAGCTGGAGAAACCAGGAGAAACCAGGAGAACACAGGAGAAAGTAGGAATACACAGGAGAAAGCAGGAGAACACAGGAGAAAGCAGGAGAATATAAGAGAAAGCAGGAGAATACAGGAGAAACCAGGAAAAAGCAGGAGAATACAGGAGAAAGCAAGAGAATACAGGAGAAAGTAGGAGAACACAGGAGAAAGCACGAGAACACAGGAGAAAGCACGAGAAAGCAGTAGAATACAGGAGAAAGCAGAAGAATACAGGAGAATGCAGGAGAACACAGGAGAAAGCGGTAGAATACAGGAGAAAGCAAGAGAACATAGGAGAAAGCAGGAGAACACAGGAGAAAGCAGGAGAATACAGAGAAAGCAGGAGAACACAGTAGAAAGCTGTAGAATACAGGAGAAACCAGGAGAACACAGGAGAAAGCGGTAGAACACAGGAGAAAGCATGAAAACACAGGAGAAACCAGGAGAAGTACAGGAGAAAGCAGGAGAACATAGGAGAAAGCAGTAGAATACAGGAGAAAGCAGGAGAATACAGGAGAAAGCAGTAGAATACAGGAGAAACCAGGAGAAAGCAGGAGAAAACAGGAGAAAGCTGGAAAAAGCAGGAGAATACAGGTGAAAGCAGGAGAATACAGGAGAAATCAAGAGAATACAGGAGAAAGTAGGAGAACACAGGAGAAAGCAGGAGAACACAGGAGAATACAGGAGAAAGCTGGAGAACACAGGAGAAAGTAGGAGAAAGCAGGAGAAAGCAAGAGAATACAGGTGAAAGCAGGAGAATACAGGGAAACCTGGAGAAACCAGGAGAAAGTGGTAGAAGCAAGGAGAAACAATGAGAAAGCAGGAGAAGAAATTAGAAACCATGAGAAACTAGGAGAAAGCAGTTGAAATCAGGAGAATACAGGAGAAAGCAGGAAGAAGCAGGAGAAAGAGAGAAAGCAAATAATTTTCTTTTTTGTATACTGATTGGCGATAGGACTAGAAAATACTTTAATGCAAGGTAAAAAAAAGAATGATGAATGATGAATGACAGACTTGAATTTTATTGTACGTTAATACTCTCACAAGTTAAGTACAGGTCATGAAAGGTAAGCGCATTGATTACATAACGATAGCAAAATCTACTATAGCGTCTTAATATAAATGTATACTAATTTACTATGTACAGGTTCAACTTCTTCTCTCTTCCTTAACACAGTTGCAGATTTAAGACCTGATGATGAAAAGAAAGTACGGTGGAAATTTCATATAAAGGAATCAAAACTATTAGAGGCAGATTGATACATATACTGAGTCTTATAGACAGACTGTCGAAAATACAGACAAGAAGTTGCAATCTGGAGGAATTTCATTTTGGGGAATAGGTATTCTTGCATAGCTATTTAGTGGTTACAATTTACTGATGTCACAGCGTATAACAAGTTTTTTTTTCAAGAAATACAAGAAAAGGAAAATAACACACAAAGATTGAGCAAGATGTCATGCTCTACAGTCTACACTATTTCTAACCTACATAAACT